TCCTTCATAAGGCTGTCTTGGGTTGGGGTGTTCAAGCTTTCGTAAAGTAAATGCACACAGTATAAGTTTGAATATACTTAAACTCATACGACGTTAAGATTTCTTTTTAATATCTGATACCCTTTTGTCAGGATTGGAAAAGTAGTGCTCTATAGATGCTAGTCATAGATCATACCACTCCATAATATCCTTGTCTATAGCTTTTAATGACTTTAAGAAAGGTAGGGACATATGGAAGTTTAATAATTCTTTACTTCATGATGAAAATTATTTAGATTGTATTAAAAATGTAATTTTAGAGGTTAAGAAACAGTATGCAATCGCAGTGTATAACTTTGACAACATAGATAATATTCCAGATGCCATTTTTATTTCATTGTTAATGATCAGCTACTTTTAGAAAAGCAAAAACAACGAGAAGGATTTAATAGAAAGTATTAAATTATTAGAAGAAAATGTGTGTGAAAGTAATATTGATTAATTATATAGTAAAAAGCAAGATTTGGAGAACATTAGAAAACATAAACTGCAAGGTACTTATATCAGTAGTAGAGCAAAATGGGTTGAAGAAGGCGAAAAACCATCACACTACTTTTGTGCATTAGAATCTAGAAACTTTACTAGTAAGATCATACCTAGATTGGAGGATAATAATAGTAATGCTACTTATGACCAATCAGAAATCTTAAAGGAAGGAAAATTATTTTATGAACAACTATATAAAAACAGTACAGTTAACCCAATCTACTGATCAATGAGTTAAATAATGAAGAAATACCAAAGCTTTCTAGTAAAGAGACAGAATCTATAGAAGATGAAATTACTTTGGAAAAAGCCTCAGAAACACTCTACAAAATGAAACCTAATAAATGTCCAGGGTCTGATGGTTTTCTGCTGAATTTTTCAAGATGTTTTGGAAATATATTGGTCCCTTTGTAGTTAGATCTATAAACTAAAGAGATAAGAGTGGAAGTTTCTCTATTAAACAAGGACATGGTATTATTACACTTTTACCAAAAGATGATAAGCCAAGACAATATACTTAAAGAATTGGAGACCAATAACTTTGTTAAATACTATACTATAAAATTGCATCGGGCACTATAGCAAATAGATTAAAAAGATACCTTGACAAAATTATTAACGAAGATCATACAGGTTTTATCTCTAATAGATATATAGGTGAAAATACAAGGTGAATTTATGATATGATGCATTATACGGAAGAAGAAAATATACCTGGGTTATTATTACTTATTGATTTTGAAAAAGCCTTTGATACTTTGTCCTGGAATTTTATTCAAGGACCACTTAAATTTTTTAACTTTGGCCCCTCAATTAAGAATTGGGTGTCACTTTTTAATACGGATATTACATCTGCAATAAATCAAGGTGGTTATCTCTCTGGTAGAATTAACATCCAGCGGGGTTGCAGACAAGGAGACCCATTGTCCCCTTATATATTCATTATAAGTGCGGAAATATTAGCAATCCAAATTAGATTAAACAAAAATATTAAAGGAATAACTGTGAACAATGTTGAAAAAAAGATTTCTCAATTAGCTGATGACACTTCTCTTATTCTTGATGGTAGTAAAGAATCCCTTAAAAACATTAAACAAGAGGCCCAGGGGCCACAGCGCTCACCTGAGCACATCGGCTAGAAAAAAAGCACATATCAGATCAGAAAGTTTACTGGGGGGCGTGAATTTTAACCCCCCAAGGGGTCATGATTTGAAAAAAATTAGAATCTACACTACCTGAGGATGATTCCATTTAAATAGAAAAATATCACTAATCATGGCTTTGAAGTACTTGAAAAGATTTTAAAAGGTTTCCCTATATATCCCTATGTAAAATTTTGGTCGGCCATTTTGGACCCACCCTAGCCCCAGGGGTCATGATTTGAACAAACTTAAATCTACACTACCTGAGGATGATTCCACATGGGTTTCATCTTTCCTGGCCCAGTGGTTCTTGAGAAGAAGATTTTTAAAGATTTTTCATATATATTCCTATGTAAAACTTTGGTCGGCCATTTTGGCCCCACCCTAGCCCCGGGGGTCATGATTTGTACAAACTTAAATCTACACTACCTAAGGATGATTCCACATGAGTTTCATCTTTCCTGGCCCAAAGGTTCTTGAGAAGAAGATTTTTAAAGATTTTTCCTATATATACCTATGTTAAACTTTGGTCGGCCATTTTGGCCCCACCCTAGCCCCGGGGGTCATGATTTGAACAAACTTGAATCTACACAACCTGAGGATGATTCCATATGAGTTTTATCTTTCCTGGCCCAGTGGTTCTTGAGAAGAAGATTTTTTTTAAAATGCCATTAATTTTTCTCTAATTCATATTTATCTCCCCTTGGAAAAGGGCGTGGCCCTTCATTTGAACAAACTTGAATCCCCTTTACCCAAGGATACTTTGTAGCAAGTTTGGTTGAAATTGGCCCAGTGGTTCTTAAGAAGAAGATGAAAATGTGAAAAGTTTACAACGACAACGACTACGACGACAACGACAACAACGACAGACAACGGACAAATTTTGATCAGAAAAGCTCACTTGAGCCTTCAGCTCAGGTGAGCTAAAAACTAAAGAGTTTTTTCCCCAGAAATGTCTGTGTTACACATTAATTATGTCAAAACTCTTAAAGTATGGATGGGCTCCAAAAAGTTTAGCAATGAAATATTACTGCCAAATTACAATCTTAACTGAGGAACTACTAGATTTACTCTTCTAGGAATACATTTTGATGTGTAGTTGGATAAGTTACTACATTTAAATTATGATCCCAAGCTAGTACAGGTTAAATCAATACTTAAACAATCGGTGAAAAGGTACCTAACTCCAATTGGGAAAATTAGTCGTTAAGACATTAGTTTTACCTTTACTAAATCACATTTTAATGTCAATACCAAATCCCACTGAATCATACTGCAAAGAATTAGAAAAAAATATTCTTCTCATTTCTCTGGAATAATTCAATTCATAGGGTTAAAAAAGATGTTATTGTTAAAATTATGAAGATGGGGGATTGAAAATGTTAAACCTTAAGTCTTTAATATCTTCTATGAAATTATTTTGGATAAGACAGCTCATTTTTACAAATAGGGGTATGGAACATCTCATCCCAAATTTGAACTTAGACAAATTTTTAAACTGTGGAATTGATTGTGTCACAACCTTTCTGAAAATTTTGAAAAATAAATTTTGGATAGACGTTTTCAAATCCTGGATAACAATACAATATCATTAGATAGCGTCTGAGGTTGCTGGTGACTCACCTTTGTTTTATAACCCAATGCTTCGTTTTGGGGGGAACCTTTCTCTAATAAACAACATGAGACGAGTTAATGATATCATAAATGAAGATGGTTCTTTTTCAAGTTTTGAATCTTTTTGTACTTATCCCATGATTAAGATGATTTTTTTTTAGAATATAGTAGTATTATTCATGCTATTTAGTCTTGGATTAAAAATTCTGGCCTTGACATACCTATCAAAAAGCTAGAAAAACCCATTAGTTATGAGAAATATTTATAAGTTGATAAAATGTCACAAATCCAAATGTTTTTATGAAATTCTTAATCAACTCTTCTGTGTCAACAGGTAAAACAAAGTGGAGTAAGATTTAACAGATCGACAATAAGGAATGGAAAAAAAATCCACAAAGTACCCTTCAGAGTGACAAAAGACTGTAAACTCCAATGGTTTCAGTATAGAATTATAAACAGAATTTTAGCAACAAATTTATTTTTATTCAAAATTAACAAAAATGACTCTAAGTACTGCAATTTTTGTCACGGAAGAAGAAACAATAGAACACCTTTTATGCGAATTAATGTGAATATACACAATTATTTCAAGAAGAATTTGTACTTTTTCTTGAAGATAAGTCTGGTCTAGTCATCAATATTACGAAAAAATCTTTTATTTTAGGTTACATTGAGAATTATACTGATATTCAAAATACTTTTATCCTTTGGCTGAAATATTATGTTTACACATCAAGATGTACTAAGAAACCTTTGAATTTATGTGCTGCAATATCACAAATGAAGTTTTATTATGAAACACACAAATTTATCTCTTATAGAAAGAGTGGAAAAGAAAAATTTGATGCGCAGTGGAACAGATGGAACCAACTTTTTTCTTAACTCTCTCCCTCTCCTTTCTCTCTCTTCTCTCTCTCTCCTATCTCTCTCTCCGTTATCCCTCTTTCTATTAAAAAACACATCATGTATTAATATAGTTATGGACTCTTTTGGTGTTGAATATGGTTTGTTATTCACCAGAAAAATATTCATATTGACCGAGGCGAAGCCGAGGTCAATATGGATATTTTGCTGGTGAATAACAAACCATATTCAACACCAAGAGAGTCCATAATTGTTTTATAATATAGTCCGAATTTGGATATTTAGGTCTAAAACATCGAAGGCTTATGGTGACACCATTTTCATTATAACAAACTTCCGTCGTTGAAAAAAAATGTCCAGATTGCAGTTTGTCACTTCCGTGTTTTTCTATCCGCGAGTTTTGCTGTTTAAGACATCCAAATGTTTAAAATTAATCCTACAATAGGTTTGTATGATATATTTCCAGCTCAGATACGTAGCTCGCTGCGGCCGTTGCAACCATTGTTTACAACGTTGTTTGAGGTGTTGATTGTGACGTCACAATGCCGCTGCACGCGCAATGACCCTCCGGTGAATACGGCCGCAAATCCAGTGAATATGTAGTGTTATGAACTGTTTGCGCTTGTATAGATTATATAGGGAATATAAATAGACTATATAATAATTCAATTTATAATATTGTAAAAGAGATGTGAATAAAAAAAACTCATATGATCTGTCATCTAATACTGGGAAAATCAATCATGAACTATTTTTTTAACGTGAACCTAGATAGCGTTTTGCCAATTAATCTTTTTAAGCAATACTACTGATGTTTATCTGTGATACCGCAATTTCCCAGCAAAGACATACAGTATTATTGGTTATATACTCAACCCTTGGATTCCATCTGGAAAGTGGTACCTTATTATTATACTCCCATGGTTCTCGTATCCTGGCAAAGAGAAAAGCTTAGTTTTACATTTCATTGTTCCGTTTTCAGGTTGGTTTCCTTTAACACTATTACGTCTGTGTTCTTTGAGTGTCAAGGGTGGTTCCCCTGATTGCCACAGCTGATCCCAAGTCCTTGCTCTTTGCAAGCTGAAATCTTCAGATAAATGGTTATATGTCCTCTCAGACTCCGCCATGCTACTTCTTTTGTTAAAATTTCCCGATTTGCTCCTGAAGAGCGACGCATGCGCAGATTTGAAAACATCAGAACAGCTATTATTTTCAAAAGCATCAATCAGGGAAGATGTAACTTTCGTGTTATGGTTGACAAGATGTATCTCTTCAATATGACAGGTATCTTGTCTTTCAAAAGCAAATTTTGAAAAAACGTAGAACCAGGCCTGGCAACATTTTTGGAGACCAGACTTATCCTTTTCGATAAAACCTGAATGAAAGAAAAGAATATCATCGACATTAACCCTGTTCACACAATCACCATTTCATTAAGATAAATGTAAATTTAAAAAAAAACATTTTTTTTTTTCAATAAAATCACCAACCTCCTCCAATTAGCGGAATTGCGACTTTTTTCCAGAGCCGAATATTTATTTCATCAATCAGTTTCCCAAGATGAAACTTGTACTCCTCCAATATGCGATCCTCTGTAGTATATAACTGATTAAGAACCAAATGCGTCACATATTTAGCTCCAAGTGCACCTCCCTTGCAGTGGAAGATATCACCTAATTTGGCCGTGCGTTTTCCTCTTATCATTATTTCAAAATCTTTTTCATATTCTTGACCTCCGGCCTTTCTGACTGCCTCTTTCAAGAATCCAGCACGTGACAAAAGATTGTCAACTCTTATAACGATACCATCTCCATGGAACTTCACTATACTTCCGGTGTAAATCTTGACAATTAATCCATTACTAAACTGAAAACCTTTCACACAAATGTGGCCTAGTGTTGTGTCTGGAAGTCTTACCAGCTTTGCACTAGGTATTCCTCTTTCTGTTGAGATGAATGGCCTATTTACCTCGGGAAGATCAACTTGTTTGTATTTTGCCGTTTCTTTCGGAACATCCATACTGATTTTTTTAAGTTCCAGAGTTTTCTCTGAGCTTGATGGAGTAATCCACTGAATATGCGGATACTTTTGCTTTATTGTGGCCATGTTAATTAAAGTTTTACTTTTTTCGAAGTCTTCAAAAGCTTCTCTTATGTTTTGTACCATGACAGGGTCTATATCAACAAAATGTATATCCCGTATCGAGCTTTTCAATCCATTATCTTTACTAAATTCGTGAACAGAAACAGCGTATATCTCTGCAGTCAGTTCTTTTGGGGCTTCGAATTCACCTTCAATCAAAAGAATTAATAATCATAAAATATTACAGTGTTGTAGAGTTTAGCTCAGGTGAGCTAAAATTTATAAAATAAAATCGAGCATTGCTGCTTTGTATTCTTGAGGGTCTGTCCAAAACACACAAAAAGAAACGCATGTCCCTTATATACTTTTGTAGCTTAAAACTTTAACATAAAAGATATCATGAATTTGAATAAGTTATCACTTAGGCCTACTAGACTTGGTATTCAGTTTGAATGAAGAATATCACCTAATAGATTCAAATTTGTATCAATTTTTCGAATAGGTGATATAACAAAATTGCAACTAAAACAAAAAAAGCACCTCACATTCAATACCTGCACTAATGGCTGAAAAGGCAATAGACGTTGCTCTCTTTCTTTGAGCCATTTCAAGGGCATTTAAGATTGTCTGCTTTAAATCAGAAAGGCAGTCCATTTTGTTCGGGTACTTCTTCCATCTTGGTCCAATAACATGCAAAACGAACTTAAAGTCCAGCTTGCCGGCTGATGTCATGGCTACTTGAGTGACCTTCAACTTTCCATATTTTGCGATATATGCTTTCGATTCCTCTGTTAGTGTTTGACCTGCAGCTTTTGCTATAACTGCTGCCACGCCTGCGCGATGACCTAAATCCTCACTAGCAGCATTCACTATAACATCTACATCAGCATTCAGGATAGATTCACAATATACCTAGACGTTTGTTTCCTCTTTGGTGGTACAATGAAATTTTGAAAGCATTTTAATTTTCCTCTCAAGTTCCCTGTGAGAAGAAATTGTTTTTTCACTTCTCTCAGTATGGGGGGAATTTGGGGCTGACTTGAATAAAAATTATAGTAATAAAATTAAATCTTCTTTAAGTATAGGTTTTTACATTGAAATATAAATATTTTTCATGTTGATCTACCTTTCTACGGTCATCATTGGGATCTTCGATGCCAGTTTTGTGTTCTTGAAATTGCTCTTCGCGCAAAATCAAACTATCCTTTACCACTGTACTACATTCATTTTGTTGATCATCACAGTCTTTTTGTGCATAGTTCTTGTCGCTGGGTGAGGCATCTGAGATAACATTGTTAACTTTTGAGGCGCCTTTCAAAAGAGGAAATTTTCTATGAAGCAGATATACTAGATAATTAACGATTTTTTAAAAATATAATTAGATGTTCACACTACCTGTATCTAAGATAGGTGGAACCCAAGATTCTCCTTCCGTTTTTTCAGCAACTGTAAATGAGTAAACAGATAAGTAAAATTGGTAAGAAAATATGTCTAGAAGCTATCTCAAATATTTTTTTTTAAATAAATTGATAGCAAGGTTATTAATTCTTTTTTTAATTTCTATTTATTTATTTATTGTTATATTTTACTATACAATGCACATACATATATGCTTGATTTACCATCATTCCTACTAGAATAATCTGTAACAAAGTGTTCTCCATTTTCTCTTATGTGTTTTTCTTCGCAATTTTCGCATAAAGCCCTTTTGCAAACGATACAGTACCGTCTCACCCCTCCACGACACAGCAAACATTTTATGACGTCTTGGGCTGTGTTGGCCATTGTAGAACAATCTATGCGGAAATGCCACCAAAATTATGAGCTATCAAAGATAAGATTGTACAACTTACTTGCATTTATACATATATATCTATATATACATGATAATGTATATATAGAAAAATATATAATTGTGATATCATTTCTTTGAAGTACAACGTCGCAAACCACGGGTTTTGAGTCCGCAAAAGAGAATCGATGTAAATCACTCGTGGGTTACCGACGATGTTTGAAGTAGGCCTGTCAAGGAATATTCGAGTACTCGATTATCGTTCGTTCATACCGACTAGGCATCGACTTTCTTTACTCGGTTATTCGTTAAAAATTTGCTACCTATTAGAAATTTTAAAAATCTCGGCAATAAACTTGGATCCAGCCAACTATTTCATTAACAGATCAATGATGTCATGTGTAAAACTCGGGGGTAGGGCTTGACTATTTAAAGAAAATTATTTATATGTTTATCAATGTATGTCCTGCAAACATACCTCCAAAAGTTTTAGTATATTTAAAAAGATGTCATAATGGAAGGAAAAAACTTGCTGTACATGACACACGATCGATGCATCATATGCCAACTCCGTCAAACATACTCATGACTTGAAGTGAAACTTTTCAAAAGTAAATTTACCGCAAAATTGCATCTTCGCAAGCCAAGGGTTTCCGGTCCTCCTCCCCACAAAGGAGAGCTTGTGAAGATGACAAAAATGATGAAGTGCATTGTCGGAAAAAATTCTGCTATCAAAAACATGATTGCTGTTCCAAATGGAGATGGTGTTCAGAAATTGTTGAGTTTTGTAGATTCAAATAATAATGTTTCAACCTACAATTCCATAAGACAACTTTTTAAAAAGAATGATTAAACAGTTGTTTCAAAATGAATTGGGGGGAGGGGGGTAGGGGGGGGGGTCACGAGTAATTAAAGTAACACAATAAGTCAAAATCATGTCTTTCTTTTACAATATCTGTAGCATACAAAGAAAGACTTATGAAAACTATATATAGAGTATATAGCTAAGATATGTAAGGAAAAAATGTACAATATAATTCCCGGAATGTTCTAACAACGTTTTAAAAAAGATCGCATTAAAATTTTTGGTCAACTTACATTAATCATTCCTGGGTACTTGAGACCATGGTAAATATGGAAACTGAATCAACTTTTCTGCGCATGCGCACAATAGGGAGGGGGAGAAGTATTGAGCAATATTTTCGTTATTGGGCATACTGAAATTTAAATATTTTTACTTTTCTTTTTTTTCCATAAAAATAGAATTTTTGGGGTTCTGAAACCTGTAATTTTCTGAAAAGTAATACTTTAAGGAATTGAAAAAAAAATTCACACTGGTCATGCAAAAATTCTATACTCAACAAAAAAGAAACGCATATTGTTTAACTCATAAAGAAATTTTAAAGAAGTTTATGGAACAACTATATCTTTTATCATTGGATACCTGTGACCTATTTAAAGTACATCATGGGCTTTTAAACCCCAATTGTTGAATTATTTCCCTTGATTAATCATGTTTATGAAAATAGTGTTTGTGCATATCTTGTTTCTATTTTGTAAATTTTGGATTTAGGAAACAATAAACACTCCTATCAAACCCATATTTTTGCTTTGATTGCAATGTTGATGAAATTTTGGATACCACAATCTAACAGACAGGAGCCGCAACTGGGAGTATCAACTGCATTTGATGTACATCAATCTTTGCAGCAGTTAAACCTCCCCATCAGCAATACGAATGACAGACCAAGAATTGCTGTACCACAAACTGCTGAATCGTCCTTCAGCACAGAACTCAGAACTGCTGTACAAACTGCTGAAATCACCATATAGTGCACAAATTGTTTGCAAGAGACTGAGAGGAGCTGTGGTATTCGTACATGACGTCCGTACAGTGGCAATCCACTAGCGCTGAGAGGTGGCAAAGGACATATGGATTGGTTAAGGAGTATGCCTCTTGAATTTGGAGGCGACGTCTATGACATCAACTTAACTTGTCAATTTGGAACATAGGACATGTTTGATTTTTATCACAACACACTCTAAAATCACTTTTAAAAATTAAGGTTTAAACTGAAAACTTTGTTATCATGTTTAATCTGAATATGCGTTTCTTTTTTTGTTGAGTATACGTATACATTTCCCACTTTGTTCGTTTTGTTGTCTCTTTTTAAAATGACCTTTCTTTCTCAAGAATTCGTTTTAAGATTGCATTGATATATAAATTTATCACAAGCTCTCTTTACTTTTTGAGATAAGATTTTACTGTTAACCAGTCACAGTTCACTACATATAACAACCCTTACCGCAAATATTGCTTTGCTGCAAATATTTGCTGCTAATCTGCCCATGCAGTATTCCCTCTTAGCCAAAATTCTAAATGTCTTATTCCCATCTAGCCAAAATTAGGATTTCACAACCTGAGTGGTCACCTGTTTATACATGTAGTCTGTTTTAGGCTTATTACCTGTGGTGTATAAGTTCAATATCAAAATACATATAATAAATACTTGTTTTATAACATATCAATTAATCAAGTTCTCCCTATTGATAATTTTAAAATACAATTCATATCAATAATATTTTTAAAAAGAAAATTTATGATCATATTACATGTATATGAAAAGAAAATTTATAAAAAATGATTTCGTGGGAAAGGGGGGGGGGGATAATCTATCCATTCAAAGATAGATAATTTTTTTGACAATACACTAAAATTATTGAATGAATTTGGATCATAACTTAATTAAATCTTTCCGATAAAGAGATCATACTCAGAATGAAAAAAAAAAGAACTGAGTTTAAAGGACAGATGATACAAACAATTTTTTTTCTTCGGAAGAGACTTAATATCATGTCACACATTTAGAAAAGTGGATAATTCTTAGAATTTTTTCTCCTAAGTACTGGAAAATGAAATAGACTTGGAAAATATTAGTAATATTTCAATAAAAAAAAACAAATATAGACAAATCACACTCAGTAAAGGTTTACAGGTGAAAACAAATTTCACAATCTGCTACCTTGGTTCTTAAAGTGTAATATAAACTTTAGAAAAATATACCAAGCAAGGTGAATTTTTTCAAGAAAATGACAAAAAAAACAGCAATATCACATATGCTGATTTTACCATTTTGCTTTTCCTAATAAAATTCACCTGGCTTGGTATATTTTTCTTAAGTTAATATTACTTGTTTAGTTTATTTAATGCCCTGGAGCAGAAAAAAAGAATTTCAATAATGCATTTCACTATATAATCTATTTAGCAGCATCCTAGCACTAGAACCCCTTACCCTGGGGCCATGAGATGTACAATTTTGGAAGAGGCAGCCTTATTCAACTTAACTATGAACTTGGTTATTTTATTTAATGTCTTGGAGCAGAAAAGAAGATTTTCAAAGAAATAATGCATTTTCACTATATAATCTATTTAGCTCTGCCCTAGAACTAGAACCCCTGACCCTGGGGCCATGCATTTCACATTTTTGGTAGAGGACTCAATGCTGATTATAATCATACCAACAGTTTGACTGCTTGATGTTCAGAAGTAAAGAAGAAAATTTTGAATGATTGCACTAATTTTAGTGGTTTTGGTCCCACTCCCAGGCCCCAGGGGGAAGGGACCATGAACATGATGAAATTCACAATTTTTTCCCCTTCACCCATAGATGCTATATGCCAAAATTGGTTGAAATTGGTTCAGCGGTTTCAGAGAAGAAGCTGAAAATGTTCAAATGTTAATGGACGACGGACGAAAACGGATAGCATTAGGTGACCTAAAATTTGTTTGTATCATCTGTCCTTAATTTACTTTGCAGAGATATTTGTACTAATTAGGAATTACATATATACGTGTATTATAAAAAAAATTAATTAATGGTAAAAATATAATATTATCTGATTTATATATAAGTGTACTAGAAATTCATATTTAGTGTCCATGCAAAACTAATGATTATTTAATTTTTAATGTAAGTTTTAAACAAAAAATGTTTGTATATCAATTTTTTTTCTTTTTTATTTGTAACAATGTAAGTTGTTAGAACTTGTGCTCAAACCATTTGTATAGTATTTATACAATAAAATATGTTCAAACCAATTTAATGCACAACAAGAGGCCCACGGGTTTTATAGGTCACCTGAGTATCATGTAGTAACTTTCCAACAACTGAATTTGGTTCGACTATCTTAAACCAATAGCCTTGAAATTCTCAATTTTGAAAAACCACCATTGTTTATCTTAACTATACACTTAGCATGCTTACTTTGGTTAGTTAATACCCACAGGTAGATCAGAGTAATGAAGAGAAAATGCATTTCCACTTTATAACCACCAGTTGTGCACACCAACCCAGAGAAACCACTGACCGCGGGGCCACATATTTCAAAATTTTGGAAATTTTATTATAAATTTTATTTGATTAATATCAATGTCTTTTATGAGCAGATTTCAAAGTATTACTTGATTTTCAGACTATCCCCCCCCTTCATCCGCAGTACCCCTTACCCAGGGGCCGTGAAATTAACCATTTTGGAAGAGGCATCTTTCTTCATCATATGTACTTATATCATTGGCATTATACCCAGGAACAAAGTAAAAAATTTCCAAAAAATTCATGCATTTTCACTATATAATCATTATGGAGCCCCACCCCAACACCAGATCACCTGACCCATGGGCCATGAAACTCACAAATTGGGAAGAAGCATCCTTCCTCATTATAACTATGTACATAGTTCATTGGTTAATACCCAGGAGCAGAGGAGAAGATTTTTAAAGAATATATGCATTTTCACTATATAATAATTAGAGCTCTGCCCTAACACCAGAACCCCTGACCCTGGGGCCATGAAATTCACAATTTTGGAAGAAGCAGCCTTCTACAATATAACCATGTACTTCGTTGGTCTATTTCTTACCTAGGTGCAGAGAAGAAGATTTTAAAGAAATAATTAATGCATTTTCACAGTATATAAACAATAGAGCCCCACCCTAACCCCAGAACCACTGACACAGGGGCTATGAAATTCACAATTTTAGAAGAAGCATTCTCGCTCATTATAACTATGTACTTTGTTTGTTTAATACCCAGGAGCAGAGAAGATTTTCAAAGAATTAATGCATTTTCACTATATAATCAATAGAGCCCCGCCCTAACACCAGAACCCCTGACCCAGGGGCCACGGAATTCACAATTTTGAAAGAGGCAGCCTTATTCAACATAACTAAGTACTTGGTTAGTTTATTTAATGCCCAGGAGGAGAAAAGAAGATTTTCAAAGAAATAATGCATTTTCACTACATAATCTATTTAGCCCCGCCCTGGCACTAGCATCCCCTACTCTGGGGCCATGAAATTAACAATTTTGGAAGAGGCAACCTTATTCAACATAACTATATACTTGGTTATTTTATTTAATGCCTAGGAGGAGAGACGATTTTCAAAGAAATAATGCATTTTCACTATGTAATCTATTTAGCTCTGCACCAGCACTAGCACCCTGACCCTGGGGCCATGAATTTCACAACTTTGGTAAAGGACTCAATGCTGATTACAATCATGCCAACAGTTTGACTGCTTAATGTCCAGGAGTATAGAAGATTTTTAAAGATTGCACTAATTTTAGTGGTTTTGACCCCACCCCTCAGGCCCCAGGGGGAAGGGATCATTAAATTCACAATTTTTGTTTCCCTTTACCCATAGATGCTTTGTGTCAAAATTGGTTGAAATTGGTTGAGCGGTTGCAGAGAAGAAGCTGAAAATTGTTCAAATGTGACCTTAAAAAGTCTGAATAAAATGTAATCTCGGATTAAATAAAATGGAGCATTTAATTAATTTCCTTTGTTCTCTCCCTCTCCTTACCAGTACACCATTCCCACTTAACTTGGGAAAACAGCTAGTTCGCAGAAAGCCTTAGTCCTGACCTGTTTATTATAGAGAAAATCCACCACATAAGTAGGAAATGATGCAAGTTCCCGATGTGTTGATAGACTTTCTTTATCATATTTATGTCCCTAGACAATATTTCCATTCTCTTCCAAGTTGTAAAAGCGAAGGTGAAAATAAACGAGATGTACACATGTGGTACACGCCCTATTAAAGTGCATTATAGCCTTTTTTTACACACACGTGTTATAGTTGTAAAACGGACTAGCATCGCGAAAGTGGGGGGGGCCAACCAGAGAAGTTACGATGGCAGACAGAACTTTTTTTCATAATTATATCACATGAATACAAATTCTGATTCATAAATATTAAACGATTGTCAGAATAGAAATCCCCGACCAGTTCGGGCTTTGTTACACATTTTATAGACCGTGTATTCTCCCTATGTGTAGTTTGTCTACACACGTGCAGGAATCTATTTGAAAATTCCGTCATTTAATATATATACTTCACACAGAGAATGGTTTTTTTTTCTTAGAGGAAACTATATGATAATTAACGAACAATTAACATGATTTTACTACAGTTGTTGATATAGTATAATCAATTCATCTGTGAAAAAATATCACCCGAAGAATGACCTAGATATTCTCTGTTATCAAACATGTTAAAAAAAAGCTGAGGAGGGAGCGAGCGTAGGAATATTAACATTTTTTATTTGCATATAGGGGGGAAAGTGATCTTTGGAGGAAAATAACATTAATTTTATTTCACGTAAACATACACAACATTAAATCATATATCATGAACAATTATGTTGTACATATTAATGATGGAACTATTTTCGTATCGGAACAATTTGTGTGAGTTTAATACACTGACTACAGTAATATATTGTACTAATAGTATGCAGGATCGAATATATTAAAAACGAAAGTGAAAATAAACGAGATTTACACATGTTACACCCCTGTTAAAGTGCATTATAGTTTTTTTCTTATATGTACAGAAAAGTAAGAACTTTACACGTAAATCATCTATAATTAAATATATAATTAAATACATAAGAGCTGCCCACACCTATACAGTGCGGTGGAGAACTGTTCCGTATATATTCCACCAGGAACAAAATAATGATGATTGCAGTGACTAATTTATTTAAAACATAATTATACTGGTAAACATAAGTTCAGTATCATGACAATTGATTTGGGACCTTTAATACACATGAGCAGCATACAAAATGAAATGTGGTATATTAAGACGTAATAACAACCAAAGAAAGCATTTTATTGTTTAAATAAAGGAGAAAATATTTAGTGGATGTAGATATTTAATAGTTAATACAAGTGCATGTATCTATATATTGTTTATTTTTTATTTTTTAGATATAATATTTACAACACATTTTTTTTTTCATTTTTTCAAATATTGAACAAAATGTATGTTAATGACAAATAGTGAAAATAACATGAAAAATTACTTCAGATTTCAACGAATATTTGACTATTGTTCGACTAAAGCCTCCGACTATTCGAATAAGTTGTCCGAATAAAATATTGACATCCCTACAAAGAGAGTTTGAACGTATAGGTATATTCAACTTACATTGTAAAATCTATTAAAAAAAAATTTTAATTCTACTTTCTGTTTAATCATCAGAGTCAATCTGGTTTTTTGTTTGAGCGGAATTTAAAAAAACATTTCAATATAGAGCAGCAGTCGAATGGGACATTTTCCGAAAAATCAGTTATGCAGATTTGTCGTTCGTTACTCTCTCATACACGATCTTCCATGCAGAGTTGTCTTTCGTTAATCTCTACGCCTAGAGCTGCACTTTTGACATCATGAGTAAGGGCATTCAAGGTCAACTGAGCATCATGTAACAACTTTAAATAAATCAATCATTATAGATAGTTTTCAGTAGACCAAATTTAACGAGTTATTTCCCGTTGGCCGCCATATTGGGGGTCAACATGCTCATATTCCTTCATCCACCCTCAACCAGTTTAGAACATTCATTAACACGTTGACGTGGAGGGTGCAAGTGTAGTTCCTGCAGAAACCACAACGTGGAGCTGCATAGCTGATGAGACGAGGCACAATATTTCCTCACAAGGATATACAGAAGCTCACTTGGAAATCTCCAGATGGTAGAACAACAAACCAGATTAATCACATAACTGTAATCAGCAAATGGCGCAAATCCCTATAAGATGTTTTAAGTATGCCGTGGAGCAGATGTCAACAGTGACCACTATCTGTTGAAAGCTATCATAAAACTAAAATTTCGCAGAAATCCCAAAAAGCAAGAGACAAAAAGGAGGATCGATGTGGAAAAGTTAAAAGATACCAGACACACGGAAAGCTTTCAATCTGGAATTGAAGAACAGATTCAAGGTTCTGGAAGAAAGTCTTCATGTTGTTGAAGATATTCAAGAAAGGTGGGGCACGATCAAGAAAGTGTATATTGAAGCCGCTGAAAAAACTGTAAGCTACCAAACCAAGAAGAACAAAGAATGGCTAATACCTGGTACATGGGGAAAAATAGGTGAAAGAAAGAACATAAAGCAGAAAATCATCAGTACCAAGTCTGCAAGATTACAAGAACAACTACAAGCTTCCTATAAAGAAAAGGATAGAGATATCAAGGGAAGTGCCAGGAGGGATAGACGAATGTATGTTGACAGTCTGGCACAAGAAACTGAACGAGCTGCTTCACATGGAGAAATGAACACTGTTTACAAAACAGGCTAATTCAGAGAATTTGTGTCCCCCGCTTAGGGAAAAGTAAACCATGCGCACTTCGGGGGGGGGGGGGGGGGGGGGGGGGGGTCGGGGGTTCGGATCCCCTTCACTGAATTTGTAGAATTATTAAATGTATACAAATGTATACATACAATGTAAGCAAATAAAATATGCCAATATGGATATAAAGGTTTGATGGATTATTCTTATGTGTGTAGAAGATTCTTTTTTATATGGAATATTTCTCACACTGTAATGATGATATTATGAGTTTGTACAAGCCAAACCTCATAAATTTTTCATTTCACATGCTGAATAGTGAATACTATCGTTTAGTAAAAAAAGAAAAGTATTTCGGGAAAAAAAAGAGTGGATCGTCCAAGATGCGATCCCGGGCCCTCTCACATTTGAAGCGAGAGATATACCACTAGACCACGGAGCCGCTGTAACTTGGCGACAATTGTATACAAACATGAAGTGACATACATGTATATATTCACGTTCGATATTGTCAAAATTTTACACAATACATGGTGTCTAATTTAACCTTTATTAAACATTTCTAATAGATGTAATAAGAATATAAAGTCCACCGAGAACTTGTTTTATACGTAATAATTCTCCTCATGTCCCTGTGCTAAAAATAGCGACATGTAATACAATAAATACTAATAAAACAAACGGGGCGGGGCACTTTGAGAGGAGTGAGAGAGGTCCTAGGGAATTTTGGTATATTACATAGCAAAAGCTCAAAATCTTCTTGAAATATCGCTCGAAAATGATAGTGTTTCATACAAACAGAATGTATAAATTTACGACCTTGAACTTTGACCTTTTGACCTCAAAATCAATAGGGGTCTTCCTTAGACCACAGGGAGTTGTTATGTAAAATATTGCAAAAGCTCAAAGGGTTCTCGAGATATCGTGTGGAACGAAAGTGCTAAAACAGACAGAATTTGCTTATTTATGACCTTGACCTTTGACCTTTTGATCTCAAAATCAATAGGGGTCTTCTTTAGTCCATAGAGAGTTGCTATGCTAAATTTCATTGCAAAAGCTCAAAGGGTTCTCGAGATATCGTGTGGAAACGAAAGCGTTGCAGACAGACAGAAAGACGGACGGACGGACAAACCCAAATTAATATCCCCCACTTTTCAAGCGGGGGATAATAACAAAAAAGCTATGTGGTCGCACTACAACCAAACCTGCTCTTGTGAAAGATGATGGTCACCCAATGGCAACAGAACATGAACAAGCCAACCGTTGGGTACAATATTTTCAGGAAGTCCTAAATTGTCCAGAACCCGATGAACCAGCGAGTCCAGACCCTGAAGTTGAAGACTTAGAAATAAACTTAGAACACCCAAAACTCGAAATGTCCAATACTGTATTAAAGCATTAAAGAATGGTAAATCCCCAGGCAATGACTGCATACATGCTGAAATGCTGAAATCAGATATTGCAACATCATCAAATCAAAGTACTGAAAGTACTGAAAAGCGGTTAGCATGCTTTCATCTAATATGTACCGAAAAAAGTGTATGAAATGATGATATTTAAGTATGCATATCTTTGTCCAATGTTATCAGAGAAAAAATAACAGGCATTCTGTTTTTGTAATACTTTACTTAATAGTAAAACCAATAACATTCCAAACTGATGTCACAGATGGATGCAATCTAATTAAAATTAGATGTTCCGAATCCGCTACTGCTTCTCAAACATCTAACAACATCATATTTGGGGTCATGTAAGAGTGAATCTTCGATTAGCCAAAGAAAACGGTTCCTCCGAAATCTTGGCTTATAGTTCAGATGGGTTTCTTGTTTTCACCACCGAACCAAAACACCCGAGGAGTTTTGTAGAAAACAAAATATGCATTGCATAAGCTGTGTTATGTATGACGTGTGGGTATCTTGTATAGTTTGTGCTCTTTCGTTTGCATTATTCACGTGCAGATGCCAGACTGCAGACTATACATGAAATTGATTCCAAAATTACTTTAATTCAACGTAAGACAGTATCAATAATGATGATATGTAGCCGTGGAATTAATTTGAGAATTGTTTACCGAGGCTTGAATCAACATGGCCAAAGTTTTTGTGTTTACTAGTACATGTATTCATAATCGAAAGGTCGCTCTAATGTGACCCCGAATGGGATGTTAGATGTTTGAGAAGCAGTAGCGGATTTGGAACATTTAAATAAAATTTAATTAGATTGAAATGCATGTTTCAAAATTTAAACATGAGATTTCTTCAGTTTGAAAGACAGGAAGTGCATTTTTAAAAGTTCTCTCTTGGTGGCATCCTATCGTTCTCTGGATGAAAACAATTATGTTGATGTTGAAAATTTAATTGTCTTTCATGCTCTATTGAATCTGAAGTTAGGTCATTGTAA